ATCCATACCAGGGGCGGGGTTATCGAAACCCGTTACAAAATGATTAAGAACATATTGGGTCATATAAAACAGGTCACTATAATTTGATATCGACTATGCGATTTGAGAATTTTTGCTCAAAATTTAATTTTCCATAAAAAATAGGGTTTTTTTGGATGGACCTGGTCCCCTCGGTATCAAAAATTTTTAGGTTTTGTTTCATTTATCGTATTTTATGTAAAGTCAGCTTTCCAAAAAGTATAAATTCTATATACATCTTCTTAGAAACTTGTTAGATAACTTAAAAAGAAAAAGATACTTTTTTCCCAAAAAAAATGACAAAAAATCGCCTTTTTTTAATTTTTTAAATTAAAATGCCTATAACTTTGGACTCAGTCATGATTTTTACATAGTTCTTTCACTGCTTGATATATAAACTTGTTGTTAAGCGAATAAAAAAAATGGCGAAAATCGGGAATATTTGGACCCGCTATTATCAAAAAAACTAAAGTAAGGATGGTAAAAATTTTAAAATTTTAATTTTCAAATGCGAATATCTCCTAAACTATAAGAGATAATTTACTGCTCGATGAGAAGATTCTATATACGAAATTTTTTTTAAATCGGAACTCAAATGAAGAAATAGGATCGTTTTAAAAATTTAACATAGCCGAGGTGTCCTAATTTGAGGACCCCCCGCCGGGCCCCTGGTTGGCCTATAAGGTCCAAATTCAAAACCTAAACTCGACAACACCTCCTCTTTGTGCATACCAAATTTCATTAAAATCGCAAGAATCACAATATAAGCGATATATGTATTTGTAAAAAATTGATTTTTGTAACCCTTGACCCCCACATATCTCGCTTAGCGCACATGGGATTAAAGGTAACTTTTAGCCTCTTATTTAAGACTCAAAGACGAAAGTCATTAAGCTATCTAAAATTCCCCACTTTGCAGATGGGAATCTTTTACATCCATATGAATATTTGGGGAAAATATGTCAGAACTGTCAGTAATAGAAATGGCACCTTTCGTACGAAATAAAAACCATAATAGTTAGAGTTTTAAAATAATGTACAAATACTTTTACTATACATATGGGCAATTTCATACCATCGTATGACACATTTGTACGCCTTCAGAGTGGTATAGATTTTGTAAAATAGGAGTACTTGAAAAATAATTTTGTCATTCGGTTTTATTTATTTGTAACCTTGTTTTAAAAAATATGTATTAAAATAAGGGAATATCATACGTGACAAAAACAGAAGTGTTTTTAAAGTACATTGTTTGGAATTGAATTTAATTACTAATAACTTTTGTACTATAAAATTTTTCGAATATTATTTTTACATCATTGACCACACTTCGTTAAAGTTTATAAATTTAAAAACATCGTTTGTCACTAGTTAAGTTTTCTTCATTATTTTTACTTTTTTGTTCATGGTTTCAAACTTTTGAGCAGTGTTTTTTATATAAAACAATGTCTTTAAAAAAAATTTTATATCTAGATCTGAAGGGTCTGTTACATACAATGGTTTGCTCTGATAACTTTTTTCAAAAATTCAATGTAAACTGAAAATGCGACATTTCTATCTAAACACATTCAGGTACATCGTGGATGCTCCACTAAATTCATTAAAATTGACATAACTTGAAAGTTTTATTTAGGATTTAATTTGCTCTGATAACTTTTTTCAAAAATTCAATGTAAACTGAAAATGCGACATTTCTATCTAAACACATTCAGGTACATCGTGGATGCTCCACTAAATTAATTAAAATTGACATAATTTGAAAGTTTTATTTAGGATTTAAATTTGTATATTAACTGCATATTTATCAAATATTACAAAATTTTGATTTTATTTTTAATTAATTTTTTACTGGAAATCCCTCATATTTTTTTCAGAGTATTTAATAAAATGTTAAATATTCATATTATGGTATTATTTATACATAGTTCTTAGTTAATTTTATAATTTGGTTTGACATTTTTTAAAGCCCGAAAATCCATAATTTTTAAATTTGATAAAAAGTATTTTTTTTTTAAATATTTTGAATTAGAAATTTTGGACTTATATGGGAGCTATGACCAATAATGAACCGATCCGGGGAAAAAGTGGTACAATGATTTATATGTACACAAAACATATTCAAGTCGAATTTTATCCTTATAGCTTTAGAATTTAATGAAATATATTCGTTTAAGTGATTTTCGGAAGTGGACCTTATATGGGAGCTATGACCAATTATGAGCCTATCCGGAAAAAAATTAGTAGAATAATTCATATTTATACGAAATATACTTATGTCGAATTTTATCACGATAGCTTTATTTGACAATGAGATATGTGCTTTTAAGTGATTTTCGGAAGTGGACCTTATATGGTAGCTATGACCAATAATGGACCGATCCGTAAAAAATTTGGTGAAATGATTTGAATGTACACAAAACGTATTTTTGTCGAATTTTATCCCAATAGCTTTAGAATTCAATGAAATATATGTGTTTAAGTGATTTTCGGAAGTGGACCTTATATGGGAGCTATGACCAATTATGGGCCTATCCGGAAAAAATTTAGTAGAATAATTCATATTTACACGAAATATATTTATGTCGAATTTTATCACGATAGCTTTATTTGACAATGAAATATGTATTTTTAAGTGATTTTCGGAAGTGGGGTTATATGGGAGCTATGACTAATAATGGACCGATCCGCAAAAAAATTGTAATGTATACAAAACGTATTTGTGTCGAATTTTATCCCGATAGCTTTATAATTCAATGAAATATATGCGTTTAAGTGATTTTGGGAAGGGGACTTTATATGGGAGCTATGACCAATTATGGACCTATCCGGAAAAAAATTCGTAGAGTGATTTATATTTAGACTAAACATATTTGTGTCGAATTTCATCAAGATAGCTTTATATGACAATGAAATATGAGCTTTTAAATGATTTTCGGAAGTGGGCCTTATATGGGAGCTATGACCAATAATGGACCGATCCGTAAAAAATTTAGTAGAATGATTTATATGTACACATAACATATTTAGCTCGAATTTTATCACAATAGCTTTATTCATCAATGAAATATGTGCGTTTAGGTGATTTACGTGATCTACGTTGACAGTATGATTTCTGTTCATATTATATTTGCATGTACAAAATTTTGTGTTGATACCGATATATTTCAGGGAGTTATTAACGATAAACTAATTTCCGGGAATATATACCTTTGTATGGGGGCTATGGGAATTATTGGATCGATTCTAAAGATTTTCAACATAATTGATCACTGCCGTGAAAAAATAATGTGTGACAAAATTCATCGAAATATTTTTAGTAGTTTCTGAGAAAATTTCAAAAGAATTATGAAAAAAACGTAATTTTTTTCGAGGTAGTCTGAAATTTTTACTTATAACTTTTTCGTTGTTAACCGATTTTGCTGATTTTCAATACCAAACTGCTAAGGATAATAATAAAAATTTTGGATGAATTTGGTTGATTTCCTTTGCTTAGTTTTAACGCGAGCGTGTTTTACACAGACAGACAGACGGACATATCTAAATCGACTCAGAATTTCATAAGGACCCAGAATATATATACTTTGTTGGGTCTTAGATGAATATTTCTTGGTGTTACACACGGAACGACAAACTTATATATACCCTCTATCACCACTGATGGTGGTGGAGGGTATAAAAATGTATGCAATCTTTTCGAAATGGTGACAAAAATTCCGTAATTTTAATATAAAAATATAAATATAATATAAAAAAATAATTAAAATTTTTGTTAGTGTATTTCCGGTCCACAAAACGATTTTTAGTGTATTATATTAATTACAAAAACATATGAAAAATTTTGAAATGAACTAAACCAAATGCCAAACTAATTTTTAAATATTTTTCTGTATAAGCTAAAAATTACGAAAATTTTGACACCTATTTCGATAAAAAGCGAAAATAATATGCCTCTCCAACCCAAAGTATATTAATAAAGTAGCGACATCTCTTGTTGTACAACAACATCTACAACAACCACGTGTATTTTGTTTTTGGAATAATTTAAGATTGTGTCAAAATAAAATTTCCTTGAACAACAATGTGAACAAAACATAAATAAAAAATATTACTTTTAAGTTAAAAATATTAACGATTTAATTATATTATTATATATTATACAATTTATTACACTTTTAAACTACTTTAAAACCACTTTTAATTCACTTTTTCAAAATTTTCACAAATTTTAACAAACAGCAAAACACAATTTAACAATTTTCAAAACAAACTTTGACAACTTGCTTCATTTATCTAGTTTAAAAAAATAGTCAGCTGTTCAAGTGATGCTACTTTATAAATTTACTTTGTCTCCAACCCACTATGGATCAAAAATAATCTACAAAAATGTTATTATTTTTTCCCGTAATCAGCTTAAAATTACGGAATTTTTGCAACCCATTTCGAAATAATCAAAGATATTTTATTTCTCAAAAATTATACTGAGGTCAGGATTTTCAATCGCTGGTTCAGTACATTAATATGCATCGATTGAGAGGTATTCCTACATGAAATCTTAAAAAGGCTGTTCCTCGGGACTCTAATGTACATAAAACATACATACATACATGCATACATACATACATACATACATACATACATACATAATACATACATACATACATACATACCATACATACATACATACATACATACATACATACATACATACATACATACATACATACATACATACATACATACATACATACATACATACATACATACATACATACATACATACATACATACATAACATACATACATACATACATACATACATACATACATACATACATACATACATACATACATACATACATACATACATACATACTACATACATACATACATACATACATACATACATACATACATACATACATACATACATACATACATATATACATACATACATAGTATGTTTTACTATTATGATTTCACTTTTGTAGTGGTGATAAATGTAATTATTTTGGAAGTATGTACTTCGATTTTTTTCAAGTAGAAAATGGGAGTGGTTTTCCCATTAAATGGAAATATGACTGGGTTAGCTAGTATTTTATAATCGTCACTTTCTGCTGTATTTTCCATGACTGTCGTTGGCTCCAATGGCACCCCACTGTATAGGATAGATTTTAAAATAGGCCATATTTTGTATTTCCCCGTATTTTCAGTTATGGCAGTCATGTACCAAATGGGCGAATAGAAATTTTTTGTAAAATATGTTAAAAACAATAAATCTGTAACAAAACACAAATTCAAGTCGATTGCTTAATGTATTAGGTTATCCCGTAGAGAATATGTGGATTTAAGATTACACATTCCTTTTTCCAGTTTATCGGCATCACCAGCCGAAAATCTATGAAGCGCTGGTGCTATTGTTGATGAAGATTTTAAGCTTTGAGAATTATCACTTAAAAGTGAGTGAATTGTATTTTGTTTTCCTGAAGCATCATCTTGTTTTGGTTCTGTAGTAGCATCGGAGATTTCTGCAATATACTCATTTAATATTTTATAATCGCCACTTTTTGAACGCTGTAACTTCCATGACTGCCGTTTAAAAATATTATCACTCTGATTAAGGAATTTGTCAATAGTATCTGTTTTTGACCTTGAAAATGATGGACTACTGCTGGGACTGCTTGTACTAGAAAGACTTGAATTGCTCTTGCTGATATGTATTGATTTGAAAGAACTATAATGCTTTTGGCATTTCAAATTGTTTTCTTCTGATGGGATGCAGGTTGTTGGGTTAGCAATAGGATCTTCAATCTGCAGTAATGCATCTGTTGATTGACCATGGGTCATATTATCCATTGCCCAACATAGGTTATTGGTGGCAGATAAAGGATCTGGGGAAATTACTTCCTGTATAGTATTTAATGGAGATAACTGCGAAACTTGTTGTTGTTGAATTACTTCCAACTCAGAATGAACATTTGTATTAATTCCAAGCCATCCAAGAACAAGTCGTGGATTAGAAACTACAAATTGCTCAAAGATACAAAAGTCAACTTTATTAAATTCAGTTTGACATCCTCGCGAATTTTTTTGTTTTTCTTTTGATGCTACTGGAGATGAAGACTTTGATGTAATCTGCGATGAGTTGGATACTTCTAAAACTGTGCCTTGCACTTCGGATGGAACGGAATGCATTTCACGACCCCAAATTTCAGGAGGATGGGAGGAACATCGTTGAAGGGTAGAATCTTCGCTATTAATTGATGAAAAATTGGCTCCAATTGCCGTATTTTCACTTATGTTTGGAATTGAACGAGCAGGCAAAAACTTAAGACTTGCCTGCGAAGCCATATTTGAAACTGTAATTTCTTGTAATGCTTGTAATGCATTTCGAACCTCGAGACTTAATTGGGTCATATCCTGGTGTAACGTTGTTACTTGTGAGTCTAATCGTTCAAGGGAATGTCTTTTATATTGGTTCTTGTCAGCAGTATCTAAAACATCACTATTAATATCTTCATCTAATGACGTCGTGTCCACACTCGACATCATATTTATGGAGCGCTGTCTTTCAACTCGTTCTCGTAGAGTCATGAGAGACCGACCTCTAGCATGGACTTTCTTTATACGCGGGCTGTTTAATCCCAAGAGTGGAGATCGACCGTGCAATGGCGATGGTGTTGTAATGCTATGATGTGGTGAGACTGTTGTGCCTGTAGCTGTTTCATTTTCAACATCTTCATTACCTTCTGTATCATGTTGATTTTCATCATCTTCGCTAATGCTCGGAAGAGGAAAAGCTGGTCCAATATCAGAATCATGGCATTCATAACCCTCTCGTAAATTAAATGTCAGGTCATGTTGAATATCATTAGCGAATTGTTGTTGATATTCAGGATATAAACGCAAAACTTCTACAAGACCACCCATATGCACACATTTTAAGGCACAATAGGTCAGAGCCTGTATGTAATAAAAGAATTAAATAAATTTGTATTAATATTATGCACAACAGTTTAAAGGCGTTATTAATCAACAATTTTTTATTTTATAAACAGTTTGTAAATAAAATGATGTATGGTGTTTTGTTAAATGAAATTCCATCCGTATTTTAAACAAGTAAGAGTTCTATTTTCGGCTGTGCCGAATCTTCACCTTTTATTAAAAAATCAAAAAATATCAGTTTGAATTTTTTATTTAATTTCATGTTTTTCGGTTCAATGACATCGCCGTGTTAAAATGATGACTTTAAATGCTAATGAAGAAGTAGTGAAAAAATATTTTATTAGCTTTTCAACTCATTACTTTTCAATGTAATGTACATTAATATATCATAAGAAAACAAACTTATACTTATATAACAATAAGAAACTATTAATAGTTAATTTTTATTGGTTTAAATGCCAATTTTTTACGAATTTCCTGATTGTCTGAAATTGTAAATCTCCATTTTAAATACATAATATCGATACCCTCAAAAAGAGCTAAATCAATAAAGTCTAGTTTTCAGGAGAGCAAAATTCGTAAAATATTGCACAAAAAGACAATGTTTCTTCCATAATACGTTTTTAACAACCTTCCTATTTCCTATCTATGAAAAAATCTTAATATTTTGCACATTTTAACGATTTTTTTAAGATATCACTTTTTGGTAGACAAAATACAAATATTTGTTCAAAGTTAGCATGTTTTGTTCAAATAAAAGAATATAAATTTCTTGTAATAATATTTATAACTTCATGAAATGTTTTTTTTTTTATAAAGGGATATAAGTCAAACCAGTTAGTCCAATAAGATGGAGTCACACTATTTAAATAGGAAATCTCATGGCATATCTGTTCGTTTACTACAGTAGTTTTCGCTTTTAGTCCACAACTACAGTTTTACAATTTTTGTGCAAATTAGGACTATATAACTTTATGGACTATATAACTGAATCCTGATATAATACACATTTTGGACTATATACAAAGTATGTACTTTCTTCAATAAAACCACTTTTTAAACAAAATAAAAGCTTATTGTAATAAAAAACAAAAAACTTTAATTATGAGATCCATTTTAAGGCCCGTGCTCAGAAAGAAAAATGTAAAACAACATTTAAAATTTTATATGAAAGAAAATAAAAAAAAAAACTGAGTAGTTTTCATACAAAATGTTAAAAAGTGTTTTCTGTTTCTTCCTTTCTGAATTCGGGCATAAGTCTTTGGATGACTAAATCAAATACAAGATAGATATCAATTTCTATATGAAATATAAATTGTGAATTGTTGAATATTTTTAAAAGTATTCAATTCACAATAAATTATTCTATTTTTTCAAAAAATAAGTTTGCCAGTTTGTTTAAAAAAGTATTAAAAAAACAGGATGGACTATATGAAATATTTTTTCTATACAATAGTTGTGTTTTGTTGCTAACGTTCAAAGGCAATTTCATATAAATTTAAAATTTATAAACGTTAGGAGTTAACGTGTAAAATTATACAAGTTAATTTTAAAGTTAACCAATTCAAAAATAAAAATACAAATATTAATGTGTTTATGTCAAACAATAAAAATATATTTTAAAATAAAATTTAAATCAAAGAAAATTATCAAATAAAAACCCTTTTCAAGAAATTGTAAATAATTTCAAGATTTAGCAGATTTCTTCTGTGGAGTGATGCCAAGTCAGGTTGGTAGACAAGATAGACAAGTTGGTAGACAAAATACAAATATTTGTTCAAAGTTAGCATGTTTTGTTCAAATAATAGAATACAAATTTCTTGTAATAATATTTATAATTTCATGAAATGTTTTTTTTTATAAAGGGATATAAGTCAAACCAGTAAGTCCAATAAGATGGAGTCACACTATTTAAATAGGAAATCTCATGGCATATCTGTTCGTTTACTACAGTAGTTTTCGCTTTTAGTCCACAACTACAGTTTTACAATTTTTGTGCAAATTAGGACTATATAACTTTATGGACTATATAACTAAATCCTGATATAATACACATTTTGGACTATATACAAAGTATGTACTTTCTTCAATAAAACCACTTTTTAAACAAAATAAAAGCTTATTGTAATAAAAAACAAAAAACTTTAATTATGAGATCCATTTTAAGGCCCGTGCTCAGAAAGAAAAATGTAAAACAACATTTAAAATTTTATATGAAAGAAAATAAAAAAAAACTGAGTAGTTTTCATACAAAATGTTAAAAAGTGTTTTCTGTTTCTTTCTTTCTGAATTCGGGCATAAGTCTTTGGATGACTAAATCAAATACAAGATAGATATCAATTTCTATATGAAATATAAATTGTGAATTGTTGAATATTTTTAAAAGAATTCAATTCACAATAAATTATTCTATTTTTTCAAAAAATAAGTTTGCCAGTTTGTTTAAAAAAGTATTAAAAAAACAGGATGGACTATATGAAATATTTTTTCTATACAATAGTTGTGTTTTGTTGCTAACGTTCAAAGGCAATTTCATATAAATTTAAAATTTATAAACGTTAGGAGTTAACGTGTAAAATTATACAAGTTAATTTTAAAGTTAACCAATTCAAAAATAAAAATACAAATATTAATGTGTTTATGTCAAACAATAAAAATATATTTTAAAATAAAATTTAAATCAAAGAAAATTATCAAATAAAAACCCTTTTCAAGAAATTGTAAATAATTTCAAGATTTAGCAGATTTCTTCTGTGGAGTGATGCCAAGTCAGGTAATGTTCGTTTTGTTGCTAACTTTAAGCGTTAACACTCATTAATAGCAACAAAACACAACTAATGTTAGTTATGCATGCAAGAGTCCGAACGGAACGAGATAGAGGATTGAAATTTTCCACAAATATTTTCTATAGGTAAGGTTTATTTGGTATTGAAAATGGGCAATATCGGTCTACGTTTTCGGATAGCCCCCATACAAGTGGACCCCCGAAAAACAGCTTTAATGGGCATATCTGTTTCAAAAGTACAAATATAGCGATGAAATTCGACATAAATAAGTTTCCAAAGATCTAAAATCTCCCTACCAAATTTTATGAGGATCGATCCATAATTGATCCTACCCCCCCCCCCCCCCATATAAGGCCCCTTCAGAAAATTGGTTTAACGCTCATTACTGGCTTAAAAATACTAGTATAACAATGAAATTTGACATAAGTAAGTCTCTTATGATCAAAAACTTCTTTACCAAATTTTATGTCGATCGGACCATAATTGACCCTACCCCCCATGTAAGGTCCCCTTCAGAAAATTACTTTAACGCTCATTACTGGCTTAAAAATACGAGTATAGTGATAAAATTTAACACACATAAGTTTCATGTGATCCAAAATCTCCCTACCAAATTTTATGAGGATCGGTCCATAATTGACCCCATATAAGGTGCCCTTCAAAAAATTTCTTAAACGATAATTACTGGCTTAAAAATACAGAATACAGAAAATCGATGATATTAGACACACATACATATTTTTTATACGAGTAAAAACCTCTCTACCAAATGTATTGAGGATCGGCCCATAAGAAAATTACGATCATTGCTGACTTAAAAATACGTGAACAGTTATGAAATTTTATATAAAAAACATTTATAGGAACATAAATCTTCCTAACCAATTTCATGCGGAAAGTGTCGGGAAGTGATATTCGATGTAAAGATGTTTTGTATGAACCAAAATTGGTCTTAAAATTTTTTATGAAAAACGGTCCTCTTCAGTTAATTTTTATGAGTAATATCCTTTTAAGGCATACGGTTTGATGGTGGGTATATGAGATTCGGCACAGCCGAATATAACTCTCTCACTTGTTTATAATCAAAATTTTAAATTAAAACCATATAATATTATAGATCTGAGTGTTATAAATGATTTGTGAAATAACTTTACATTTTCTGGAAAAACATTATTTAAGTCTAAAACTGGCTATGGAGAAATCGGCAACGAAAATAATAAACGAAGCGGCACCGATCATTAAAAAAAAACCTGTCATTTGGGGCCTGTTGGTGCTGTAGGAACGAAATTATTTTAATAACTTTTTTATTACGAATTAAAAGAATATCAAAATTAATAAAAACAAGTTAGCGTGCTATATTCGCTACTTTTTATTAAAACCTATTTAACTATCTAATTTTTAGACAAACTATCTAATTTTTAGACAAAATTTCTTGACAAAATTTTGGTTTCCGTAGTGAGGGTACATTTATGCATATATCGAATTAATTTTGATTAGGTCCAGAAAAATTTATATTAATGGGCCAGTTTGAAAACATTTGAATAGATTGACTTAAATATATAATTATTTAATAAGAATTAAGTGGTATTAAGTGATTTTCAGAAGTAAACCTTATGTGGGAGCTTAGACAACTTATGCACCGAACCGAAAAATTCCGTATAATGATTTATATATGGGGAATTTCGTGTCAAGAATTCCAACTTGTTTTCCGATGTGGGTGAAATTTGCACCAAGGGTAGAAGGCCAGATACAAATTTTCAGCTCTATCGGTCAAGAACTGCCGGAGTCAGAGGGGGTCAAATTTGAACATTTTCGTCATACAGAGTTTTATGCAAATGAGTGTAACTTTTCACCTATTGGTCCTAACAAAAAATGTTCAGATAGCTATTCCTTTATATTTCCAAAAAAAAAAAAAATAATTTTTAAAATTTTTTTTACAAAATAATTTTTTCTTTAACTTTTTTTTGTTGAGGGCCCTTTATATATATATGTATATATATACATATATATATATATATATATATATATATATAGATATATATATATATATATATATATATATATATATATATATATATATATATATATATATATATATATATATATATATATATATATATATATCTATATATATATATAAAATTTAAGAAAAAAATTTTTTGTAACAAAAATTTTACCACTTATAGGCCTTTTAATTCTATGATTTATGATATATGTCTTTTGGTCAACAAA